CGGTGGTGCCGTTGTGCGGCGGGGCACGAGGCGCAGCGGAGGTGGCCGCCACGCCGCTGCCAGGCAGTGCCTCTCCCAGCAATCTCGCAGGAGATTCCTGCTGCCTGCTGCTGGCACCTTGCGGCTCGCGGCGCCCACCCCACCCCCCGCAGCGGCAGCCTCGCGAGCGCTGCTGCCTGGGATCCGCTCCCACCTGGTGCCGGAGCAAGGCAGGGTTGTGACGGCGGTCACGGCGGAGTTGGAGGTGTTGAGCTTGGGCCTCCAAAGGTGCAGCGCTTGAACATCTACCCCACCGTCGTCACCGTGGGCTCGATGTTCCAGCGCTGCACCTTTGGAGGCACCAAGCTCAACACCTCCAACTCCGCCGTGACCGCCGTCACCACCCTGCCCTGCTCCGGCACCAGGTGGGAGCGGATCCCAGGCAGCAGCGCTCGCGAGGCTGCCGCTGCGGGGGGTGGGGTGGGCGCCGCGAGCCGCAAGGTGCCAGCAGCAGGCAGCAGGAATCTCCTGCGAGATTGCTGGGAGAGGCACTGCCTGGCAGCGGCGTGGCGGCCACCTCCGCTGCGCCTCGTGCCCCGCCGCACCACGGCACCACCCCGTCGCACCTCCCCACCGCGCACCACACACGCCTGCCCCCCCTGCAGCTCCGAAGGCGCCTGGACCTTCTCCAGGTGCGAGTTTGCCGACATGGATGGTACCGCCGAGGCGGCGGAGGCCAAGTTGAGGGCGCAGGGCATCAACGTGGATGCATACTTCTACCGGTGAGGGGTGGGGCAGTGGTGTGCATGACAGGTACACATATGGTGGGGGGTAGGGTGCGCCTACAGCGGCGGCGGCAGCGGCGGTGGCGGCGGCGGCGCCAGCGCTGGCCCGCAGGACCGCCTCGCTGCGCCTGACCAGCTGCAGGCACCAGCCTCTCCCGCGTGCCCCCCTTTGAAAGCCTGCCCCATGCCCCTTCCCCTTCCCTTGCCATGCGCGCCTGCAGCGTCTTCATGCTGCCCCCTGGCTTATGCGCCGGCATGGTCGGCACCGGCTACGTGGGCTGCGACGGGTCATGGCCCTGCCGCGCCTGGGTGGGCCACGACTTCTGGACCTCGCCCATGGTGGGTGGCTGCGGCAGGAGGGTGCTGGCCACGCGGCGCCGGGGTGCTGGTCTGGGGTGGCGCGGGGGGTGGGGCTGCTGTCGCCACACCGGGAGCCTGCCTGGATGCCAGCTGGACGGCTCATGCACGACGCATCCTTCAGGCCTGTGATCCCACCTCCCCCGCTGCTGCCGCCGCCACCACACGCAACGCCACACACACGCACACCCTTCCCCTGCCCCCTGCCCCTCAACCCTCCCTCCAGACCATCGCCCACGAGCTAGGCCACAACCTGTACCTGTCCCACTCTGGCTCCGCGCTGTCTGGCCAGTGGGACGAGTACGATGACGAGAGCTGCGCCATGGGGTACTGCTGCTCGTACTGCTGCCTCAACGCGCCCAAGGCCTGGCAGCTGGGGTGGAACCCGGTGAAGGAGCTAGGCAGTACCGCCATGAAGCCGGGCACTACCGTGTCCACGTCTCTCTTCAGCCAGTCCCTGGCGATAGCCGCCGCCGCGCTGCGCGTCAAGGTGCGGCGCGGCCCGCTGCCAGCAATAGCAATGTGCGACAGTGCCCCCGCTGTGATCGGCCGCATGAGCCGACCTGGGCTATGAGCATGTAGGATGGGCTCCCGCTGGCGCTGCCAGCGCTGCCAGCGGAGCTGTCTAATGAGCGACATCTCCCAACCCCAACCCCACTCCCAAACAGGTGTCGTACTGGGTGGGCGGCGAGGCCAGTGTGTACGTTTCGTACCGCAAGCGCCACAACACCACCAACCACCCCGATGCCTACCTGCCCGCCAGCGTGGCCGACCAGCTGGTCATCCACACATCCAACGTGGCACAGCCTTTCGACCCCGCCGTGTCGCGGTAGCATACGGCGCTGGCGGGTGAGGCAGGCATGGCTGACCTGGCGGCTGCTGATGTGGCCAGCGCTGGCATGCCACTGCCGCCAGGATGCCGCCGCTGACATGAAGCTCGCGCCGGCCTGGTCCCCCGCCGCCCCCGCTCGGTGCAGTCGGCGAGGCGTGGACGCACCCCAACGCCGCCACCGGCCTGGTCATCCGCCGCGTGCCATGCAACCTCACCAACCGCGCGCAGGTGCATGTGTGCCGCAAGGGCGGCCCCGAGACGGCAGCCACCTGCGCGTTCAACATTGACAACGACTGCAACGGGCTGAGCGGGCCGGAGGACCCGGCCTGCGCCCTGATCTGAGGCGGCGGCGGCAGCGCTGCCGTTGCGCGCGCCCCGCACCTCTCCCCCCCGCTCTTTCTCTCTCTCTTTCCTCCTCCCGCTCCCGCCGCTTCTCCCTCCTGTACGTGCACTTTGTCAGGGCCCCGGGGTCTCTTCGGGCTGCCTTTCTCCACTGCACTTCTTTGCTACCTCTCTGGCCCCACGCCTCTATTCCTACCCCCAGCAAGCGTGTACATGTTTCCATGCAGGCCAGGCGCCTCTGCCGCCAGCAGAGGCGGCGGCAGAGGCGGCGGCAGAGGCGGCGCCGGCTGCTTCATGCCCTTCTCCCCGCCCCCTGTCAATTTTATCTGCTGCAGTAACCTGAATTCCTTGCCTTAATTTCTTCTGATCCACTCTTTGGCTTTCACAAATGCATGGGTGGGCTCGCTATTTCACCGCCGCCGTCAAGCCAGCGCCGCTCTTGCTTTCGGCGCTCTTGCCTGCGAGCCACGGCGGGACGGCCTGCTCCTCCTTGACAGCTGTGCAGTATCCTTGCTACTCCTTCCATCTCCCTTATTCTTTCCAGCCACTCGTCAGTACGTACCTTGCTTGGCGCGCACACCACCAACGCGCTTGTACCGCTGCGCACTGCGGTGCCACATGCATGCCCCCTCGTCATGGGGCCACCGTGCCTCGGTATCCGCCCGTTTCCCCAGCCATGCGGACAGTTCAATAATTTGTATCATGGCTGATGGCTTGAGGAAGACAAATCTCAGGATGGTGGGCATCAGGTGCAGCGCTGACGGAGGCGCGGCGTGCCACCTGGCGCCGCACATCAGCTGGTAGGGACGTTGTCCTTTTGTCTGGCCCTTCACTTCTACACCTCTGTTGAGCTGCTGCACGCGATTCGTCCCCAAGTCCAATCTGTAGGCGGCCACAGCACCGCACTGGGCGATGGCCGGGGCGGCCACCGACTCCCTGCTCCTCATCATGGGCTGCATCGTCCCCTGCCTGGCAGTACGGAGTTTACAGCAGCAATCCACGGTCTCAGGTGCGTGATGCGTCAATCGGCCCGTTGGCACGGCCGCCGGTTGTATGTGTCTGGTGGGGTGGAGTGCCCCTGAGCACCGGCCGGGCTGCAAATTCCACGCCCACGATCCCTGCGGCCCTAATGACCCGGTCGATGGCAGCTGCAAGGTCCTCTAACCCGCGGCGCCAGAGCCGCTCTTGCCCCCCACGCGCGTTCTCAGGCCGGGCGGTGCTCCTCAACGCCGATTACGCATCGCCGGAGCTCGAAAACAGCGCACCAGACAGGTGGGGCCGGCGCGAGGCTCGGGCGCTCATCCCAGGGGCAAAGGGTCCCGACGGGGCCACCGCCCGCCGCCCACCAGCTTGCCGCGGCCGCCGCCTGCTCAGCCCTCCTGCTGGGCCCCAGTGTGGAGAGAGCCTGGCGCAAGCTGCACTGCAGGCAGGCCAGTGTGCGATGCGCCATGCAGCCCCGCAATGGTCGTTGGGTGCCCACCGCCGCACCCCATGCCGCCGCCGGGCCTGCAGGCTGCTTGTGGTGCACACCGAGGGAGGCAGGCGAGTGCACGTGCGCTATGCACCGGCACTGGCGGCAGCGGTGGCCCTCCTGCGCGCCGGGGCAGCCGTTGTTGCGACAGGGAGCTGGGGCGCGTGCGGGAACGGCACGCAGACGACACCAGAGGGCAGCACTAGCACTGGCAGCGGCGGCAGCGGCAGCGGCGGCACTGGAACAGGCGTGGCCCCATCGCCACCTAGGCCCCCCCGCAAGCGCCGCTCCTGCTTCCAAGCCACAGCGGTCGAGGCGACCCCGGTCCCCTCTCCAGGCAGCACTGCCGGCCCTGCTGCCGGCCCTGCTCGCGGCGGCGGCGTGGCGGCAGCAGCGGCAGCTCCGAAAATCGGTGCCGCCGCCGCCACCGCCCTGCCGCTGGTGTCCTTCCCCCTCGCCTTCCAAGACATTGCCACCCTCATCATTCCCAGTGAGCCCACCTGACCCAATCTGCTATTCATAGGCCTGCCTGTCTTGTTGGTGCAAGCTGCTTGCAGGGAAACAATTTGCCGTGGTTACTCACAGCCCCGTACCCAAACCGCCCCGCCCCAACCGCCCCGACCCCTTGCCCCGACCCCGCAGTCGCAGCCTTCGTTTTGTTCTGCCGGGCCAGCCTTCACCTGCCAGTGCATGACTGTGTGCCTGTGACCTGCGTTGAGATTCGGGTGCGTGGGGACGGGCGCAGCGAATGCCACCTGCGACTGACTCCTGCCCTGTGCGGCGCCCTGATGGGTGCCCGCCGCCGCCTTGCGTGGGCAGCACCAGAGGTCAGCATTGACCTCTGGCGCTCACCTGGGGAGCTACAATACCTCCATGAGCTGCGCCAGCAGCGCGCGGAGGAGCCCCCAGCGCGCCAGGTGGGGCGGGCTGCGACCTCTCGCTGGTGGCGAGCGGCTCCCCTCCCGCCGCCCTCAGCTGAAGTCGTTGCCGCCCCTGTTGCTGCTACCCCTGCCCAGCCCACGCCTGCGCCGCCTACACTGCCCGCCGCCGCCGCAGCAGCTGCCGCCGCCGCCGCTGCCGCCGCCGCCGCTGCTGCCGCCGCCATGCCCATCGCCCGGCCGCACGCACGCCAGCCCGCCAGCCCGCCGCCAGCCAGCCAGCCAGCCAGCCAGCCCCCACAGCCCGTATGCCAGCCGCTGCCTGCCGCGCCGCCGCCGCCGCCCACCACCACCACCATGCCTGCGCCCACGCCCACGCCGCCTGCCGCCGCACAGTCCGCCGCGGCAC